CCCCCCCCCCAAAAAAAAAAACAGGAGTAAGATGCCCTAAAAACCCTAAGCCCTAAGAAGGTTTTAGAATTAGAACCCCCCCTCCAACTATAACAGGAGCCCCTGTGAAGTAACACCGAGATTCACAAAAGTCTCGCGGAGAATCTTCTCCCCCTGAACCCTAAACCCCTAATCCCTAAACCCCTAATCCGTAAACCATCCTAAACCTAAACCCTCTCCTGTGGCAGGCGAGCCGACAGGCCGAAGTCGATGACTTTGATGTCCTTAGGGGTTTAGGGGTTATAGGGGTTTAGGGGTTATAGGGGTTTAGGGGTTTAGCGGTTTAGGGGTTTATGGATTAGGGGTTTATAGGGGTTTGGGGGTTTACGGGTTTAGGGGTTTGGGGGATAGGGGCTGCCCCGAGGAGGCTCCGACAGAGATCGAGGGAGAGAGCTGGAGTTGTGAGGGGCCTTGGAGCTTTGGGGCTTTGAGGGTTTTTAATGGGTTTTTAGGTTTTGAGGGCTTCCGGTGGTTTTCAGGTTTGCTGCGCTTAGGAGTTGGCGGCTCTGAGGGTGCGAGGTCTCACAGTAGCTCATCATCAAACCTCGAACTTGGATTTAACCTCGTGCACTGTCCCTTTTGCCAAATCAAAAAGATATCTTACAAGTACCAAACCAGAACCCCAACAGAAAAACACCGACAACACCTCTCCAAGACCCTGGAGTCGCTGGAGGTAAGGCGCTGACAGCTTTGCAGAGCGCCTGAGAGAGTATGTGCCAGCTCATCAGCGCATCAACACGCGCGCAGACACACGCCGACCCAACCGAACGATAGATGCTTACCTGACACTTGGCAGTCTTGCAGTTGAGAAATTTGACAACTCTGTGAGATGGGAATCCATGGAGCAGTTGATTGAAGCATCAAAGCTTGGCCGGTTGCTCTGCCAGGAAGCAACGGCGGCTCAGTCAAAAGGATGTTCTGAGCCTTGCAAGCATACAGAGGCCACAGGTTGCCGAGAGCAACCAGAGCACCCCATGGCTGGGCCGGGTCACTCGTTCATACACGTGGTATCCAACATGTACCACTGACTGATCTGGCATGGAATCACGACTTCAACCCAAAATCTCCCTCCGACTCTATGTGGTGACATGCTGATCGAAGCCCTGTCTCTCTTGTCACTCTTTTCCGAACCCAGTCATCGGTGCCGTTGCCTTGATGTCTCTGTGAACAACACGGCAGCTGTGGAGGTACTCGAGCGCCTGTCTTGGACGCTGAGCCAATCTTGGAGAAACGTGGCAACCGCCGCTTCCTTGCCTTGAGGAGCTGCAAGCTCACTCTCGACATATCCTCACAGATGCTCAAGCCCTACGGGGGCTGACATCACAAGATGCCGGCGCGCAGCCGAAATCACGCAAGCCGCTGTCCTGTTCAGTGATGACTGCCAGCTCAGACTTCAAAGCCTCAGGAAACGCGTGCGCAAGCGTGTTGAACCGACCAGGCTCAACTTCCAAGAACTCACCTCAAACAGCTCGCCCCCCTTGATGCGCTCCATGATCACATACAGAAACCGCTTGTCCTGCCACGTTCGCCCCATTTCGCCCCACGAAGAGCTTTGCTCGTTTTATCCGCGGACATGTGCTCGACGTCCCTAGTTGCAAGCAGGCTGTCTTCCCACCAATAGCAGTGCAAGCTGTGCATGGGCACTACCACACTTTCTGACTCAATTCACCTGTGAACCAAAGCGAGCTGTCGCAACAGTTTCTTTTCCGCTTGCTTGTGGTCGGGGCAGAAGCGAAACATCGACTGTACTTCCTGTCATTGCTGGCATTTGCTGGCTTTAGATGCAGTACTGCTGGAGACATGTCGGCAGTGTGAGATTTTATCCAGCATTGGCAGTCGGACACTGTCGGTGAATGCGTCTCTCGATGCGAGGACCGCAGATAGAACCAACTCGAAAACGAGCTGGTTGGGCATTTACACTAACCCAGGCCCGAAGCAGGAGCCCGACCCCCAGGAATCTTGCAGAACCATAGATTACCGGACGCCTCGTGGAACGAAAACAATGACACAACGGCCAGAGTAAAGGCTTAAAGTCGGGAAGGCTGTGATGCTTGTGAACTGGCCATCTGCAATTGCCTGCCTGCAGATTCTTGGAGCCAGCCCCGAAGGCACTCTACACTCCGCCGTTTTTCTGCCTAGTTCCCAGCTCTTCTTTCGGGTGGACTCGGTGTCGGAACCAGTAGTCCTGAGCTGGTGAAGCCAGAAGTATGATCGTGCGGCCAAGCTGGCATTCCCAACCAGGCCTCCCAGGTCTTGAAGTTGACCTGCTCTCGTACAATGCCAACATTTCGCAAGTCATACATGTGCATATGTGTACATACATATACATACATGTATATGTATATATATATGTCTGTATGTCAGTATGTCTATATGTCTGCATGTCTGTATGTCTGCATGTATGTCTGTATGTATGTATGTATGTATGTATGTATGTCTGTGTGTATGTATGTATGTATGTATGTATGTATGTATGTATGTATATATATATATATGAATGCATGTATGTATATATATATACATGTATACAGTATACATGTATATAATTTAAATAAACAAACAAATAAATAAATATATATATATAGACATGCACGTGTCTAAACAAATATGTATATTTGTCCGTTACTTTATTTATTCAGTTAAGTATTGCCATGTTGGAGCCCTCTTCCACCAAGCCCGACGGACCCTGCCTGTGTTGGACTTGGCCTGAGCGAGCCATCCACAGCTTCATACCTGCCAAGGGCCGGGGATGATGCACGAGAGAAGTTGCGGAGACACCAGCAGCCCAACCCTGACCTAAGCCCTAAACCCTAAACCCTAAAACCCTAAACCCAACTCCCCTCGACCCAAAACCCTGAACTTGTCTGGCCTGTCGTTGATGTACTCAACCGCCGGTCCTCGAAAACCAGGCAGAGGTACGACAAACACAGATAACGCAATGACGAACAGAAGCCTGCCTGAGCAGAATATACTTTAGTTTAGTTTAGTATGATAGTGTACTGTAATTCAAAACAGTATGATATTATACCATAACCTTCATCATGAGAAGCCCGCCTGAATCCAGGATGGCCGTCCAGGCCGACAACGTGTGTGGCTGGACCTCTGTCATTTTCCGGGAAATCGTCTTGCCTTCATAAAGCAACCATGGTTTAGGGCTTAGGGTTCAGGGCAACCATGGAGACCTGCTTATCAAGGCACCTATCGCCTGCACTGCGAGAAATCGGCCCTTAAACCCTGAACCCGTAAACCAACGCATTCCGTGGAGCTCAGTCTAGATTACTGTATAGCAGAGTCATCTACTAAAACCATGGGCACATCCTGCCTGCTCCGCGCGCTCCCTTTCACAATCCGTGAGGAAAGTTCCATATCGGTTCCTTGCTTCAAAGCTCAGCCAGAAACGAACAGATATCAGACGACAGGAAGCATTGGCAACTTGTGCTTCCGAGCTTTAGTCTGCTCACCCCCATGTACTGAAATTGCAGGGATCGAAGGCTGCAACCAGAAGACTGAGCGGCTGACGAAGTCCCAGAATGAAGGGAATGATCCATGTAACTACCCTCTAGGCTTTCGAGCTTTAGGCGCCCAAAACTGAAAACTGCCATGCATCGTCAAGACTTCTCGCGCGAGAAAAAGAAGCAGGTCGGAGGTGAACTCGAAGGCAGTGGGAAACTGTATGAGCAGCTGATAGACCTCACTCAAGGCCCGGCTTGTTCGGATCTACTTATATATGACCGACACTGAGGCTTTAACATACCTACATAGGAACCCCTTAAGGCTTTATAAGCAAAAACTATACAGGTACATGAAGTTCAAGGGCCATTGGGTTTCGGGGTTTTAGTTGAGGTAAGGGAGGCTGGCCTGTGCACTTCGTCACTGCCAAGAAAGACTAAAGTGCTGTTGGAAGGTGCGCATTCAAGCCACTGGAGGAAGACAGGGCTGTACCTGAGATGCAATCGAAGCGTTTTTCAGGAAAAGAAGCTTGCAACTCTTCTACTGGTCGTTGCTATCACCTGACACCTTCCAGCCATGGCCTGCCTTTGTGTGCTGTTGGTGATCCCTTTGAAGGAGTTTTTGCGGTGAAACTACAGCCATGGGAGTGGTACATCTGGACCGTGATATCTTTCGGCGATTGCTGCCAGCGCTGCTCACTGGTGGGCTTCTCTCCATTGGCCAGCCGGGTTCGGAAGCGGTGTCCGAAAGAGCAGAACTCCTGGTGGAGCATCAAGGGTTCTGGGTTTATGCGGTTTAAGGATGAATAGGGTTTAGATAGGGGCTTAGGATTGAGTCGCACGAGTAGCACGGGCGCTGGCTTATCCGCTTGTCATCCGCATGTTGCGCAAGCCTTCTGGATCAAGAGCAGCAGTCCACGCACCGTGCGGTAGTACGGGTCCATACACAGCATTGCAACCTTGATCTTGATCCAACTCAAGCACTGCGTGCTGACAACAGCCCCCTATAGTGTTCCCTGAGGCAGGAGGCAGATGAAACCTGCGCTGTGCGGTCCCAGCCATCAGAACAATGGATAACCACGTTGCAATGATGGCTTTCCTCAGCGTCGCCGACAAAATCAAAAAACTTCGCTCTGTTTGGGGCAACATCAGACCCTTGGAGAAGTTGCACGATTTGCACATACTTCGAAATCTCTGTGTTTGGCCATGTGTCTCTAGCACGACTTCCATTGTTGTGTCTTTCAGGTGGAGTTGCTCCGCAAATGTGGAACGGACGGGGCACTCTTCGCACCAAGTCGTCTCGGAGCGGGGAAGTACACAGTGGAGGGTGGCTGCCCTTTGTGCCTCGTGCTGTGGTCGGGTCTGGTTGTGTCATGTTGTGTCTCTGTTTGCGACGGGCCTTCCGTGTTTTGGCGCAGCTTGGGAGGTGAGGCTTGTGCTCAGTGAGGTTGCCCTGCCACCTGTGGGAACATTGGAAGATGTCAACTTTGGCGTTTCCCTTTCTTACCTTCTATGCACTTAAATGCCTGATTCAGCTTCGATGGCCGCTCTCGCTCTCGCTCTCTCCATCTGACGTCGTCCGGGGCATTCGAACGCAAATCCCGACTGTTACGTGCACACCGCAGACTGCGAGCCTGCAGTCGGTGTGCTGTCGTGCTGCTGTTGCTGGGTAGCTTTTAGGGTTTAGGGTTTAGGGCTTTAGGGGTTTAGGGGTTAGGGCTTTGGTTTAGGGTCCCTATCTCTCAGCCCTAAACTAACAGTTCGTAGTACGAGGCCTGCTTTTCGTGGCTTCAACAGGCTAGGGTCAGGGTGGTTTGCTGAACCGGCTTCGATCTGTTCTCAAGTTCTTGGGCGCAGGATCTATCTCGTGGACGATCATCAGCGCGCAGCTGAAGATAGCGCCAATCAGATCATACCTTATCTGCGAGCGTCGCATTGCAATGCGCAAGCCGAGTTCATTGGCGCATATTGGCGCCCTTGGAATTACCAAAGAAGAAGGTTGATGAGAATACCATGCAACACCATGCATGATCTCCCGAATGAAAGTTGAATTCATGAAGGTCAGCCTGATTATCGAAGGTGCTGCTACGAGAGATTCACTTCGGACCTGAGTTCAGTCAAAGCTCCAGCCAGAGTTTGCGACGTCGCGATACCAGGACCCAACCTTGCACGACTCTTTCACGATCTCGCATCTCATTCTCATACACTGAAACGTGTATATGATATAGTACATATATTATATATTATAGTTGTCATATGTTATCATACATTACGGTAACAAGTAACAATCATATATTGAGTTAGAGCCGTCCCTAATCTGCGTGCCAGAGGGCCTCGTCGTTGCTGAGGTTCGCCACCGCCTGCCCCATTTTCTTCCAGGCATCACCTCATGCACTCAGAGACGCCAGAAGCCGCAGCAAAAACACTATAATAATGTGATAAGAAATGCTGGAATGCTCAGTCACTCCTCCAGCTGACAGGCAACCGGCTTGCTTTCATGCAAACAAGTGGCGCACAACATGAACGTTGTCAATGCCACCGAAAACTAGCCGACATCCGCTGTAGCCTGGACGGTCCAACTGAAGATGTGACGATCTGCCTAACCCGCACCGAATAATGTTCCAGGCAGATGCCGTGGAAGGCAAGTCAACATTGAGTTGCAGCCATGTCATCAACATCATCTTCGTCTTCTTCACCATCATCCTCGTCAGCAACACCAAGAATCAAAACAAAGCTACAATAGTAACAGCAACGGCCATGGCAGCGATAGCATCACCGTCAAGCAAATCATGATGGCCATATTCATCCATGTTCAGCCACAGCACCTGCCCATTATTCTCAATGCCGTCATCATCGCCACGACCACCATCGACATCATCAGCTACAGCAACATCATCGTCAGAACGTCAGCATCGTCACTTTCATGGGATTGAGGACGAGGACGACGACAATGACCGTCACCACCAGCACCACCACCAGCACCACCACCAGCACCACTACCAGCACCAGCACCACCACCAGCACCACCACCAGCCATCACCACCGGCACCACCACCGGCACCACCACCAGCACCACCACCGCCACCGCCACCACACCAACCGCCACCACCAGCTCGCATACGCACGCACTTTAGCATCAACATGCCCCACGTCGTCACATCGGGCAGATTGATGTCAATCGCACAACTTGTACCACAGCAGTGACACGGCCTGCGAGCCCAGTCATATTTTCGCACTTTCGACGAGGAGCTCTCAAAACCGCCGCCGCCAACCTTGTTGGCATAGGCCGCTTTCCTGCATCGCACTTGCAAGTGTCCCACCAGGGAATTGTGTTCGGACCTGGCTACATGTCATGCCGGATGCTCGATCTTGCGTCAACACCCGGGCCACGGTGAAACCGAAGCATCCCTAGTGTTTCTTCTGCAATATCCTGGGCCGCAGATCCAGGACCAGCAGCTCGCGGTTGCGCCCAGCAGTGGCACCAAGCCTAGAACTAACAGCTCTACTCTATCAAGCTCTATCAAGAAGGAGACCTCAACCAACCCTCGAACCACCAGACGCACAACTTGCAGCTCGCCAGTCGCCTGATGGCATATAGCATCTTCTCATCAGACTGGCAGTTGTTGCCTCAGACACTACCAGCTCCCCAAGCAAGAGAATGGGATGCTTCAACGAAGACATGCTGCAGGGTGTGAACCAGACTCTCTTCAAGCAAACTCCATGAAAATCCGCTCTTCCATGGTCCGAGCAAGAGTCTCTATAATATAATACAATACAATACAATATAATATTATATAAATTCTTGAGGCACAAGGTGCCCATGAGCCCCTCCGTAGGCTGCGAGCAACGCCACAATGAGGCGAAGCCGCGCGTACGCCCGCCACACCAACTCATCGTCGGCAAACGGCCTCTTTAGACTCTTAAAGAAGGTCTTTCATGAAAGTATAGTCATCTTAAATAAGGATCAGATCGGATCTCCACTTTCCAGCATCACTCAGATGATGAACGGCTAAATCTGCTTGCATCTGGCCTGCCTCGTTTCCGAAAGCTTGCAACGTTGCGCAGCTCCTCTTCCTTGATGCAGCGCGGTAGCGCCAGGAAGGCAGGATACGTGTCGCAGAGCTTGTAGGCGCCTTCATCGAAAATGCCAACCCAAAACTCCCTCGCCCCACCCGGTGTCACCGCAATATCTTTTGAGCTTTTGCTGCTAGATGCGGCAAAGGCACTATTGACGCTACCTCAGTTCAACGCAGAACGAGGCTTGAGCTTGCAGACACCAGTCTCTCCACGTGTATAGCTGGGACTGTGACTGGCGCATACCAAAGACTCGGGCAGAAGTCCAAAAATGACCAAGAAACTCAGTAGCCAGGGGCAGCCCGAAGCAGACGAAGGGGACGTTTCCACTTCCATCCTGGCGGGCACCCACTTCTCGGGCATAAGATTTGGGGTACATTACAGTCTAGTTTTATAATATGGGGACTATAAGGGGATATTAGTGGGGGCAACAAGTCCAGCAGGAGTCCTCTCGAACTCAATTCCTGCAGTCAGATGCGGTCAGATATACAAGTTCTGCTGCTCTGACTGCAGTACGCTCTCCCCCGCCGAGGCTCGGGGATCAAAGAGACTCCAGCCGTCATCTCGTCTTCCAGTTTGCAGACAAGCGGCCTACGACGATGAGCCAACCAGGCTTTCCTCTTCATCTCTCTCGTGAGCTGCTGCCAAGGAACATGCTGGAAGGCAAAGAGGGCCTGGACACCGAAGAGGTTGGCTGTAGAGGAGAGCCGCTTCCCGTGCAGGCACTCACCAAGACAAAGCACTTACATGTGCCGAAATCAGGCTATGCCGTCGACGATACTCTTGCGAGATTTCTACTCAGGGTTACAAAATCGCTTTCGGGGTCGACACGACATCAAAGCTCTGCCCCATTTTTCGCAAGGGTTGACTCAGAACCGGGCAGATGTGTAGGCTGGACCTGCTGAGCAGAATCACAATCGAGCTGCCAGAAACCGAAAGCAAAAGCAATCACACACTGCATGCAAAGCTGCCTGGCTGGGACAGTGCGAGGATGGCCTCTTCAGCCTCCCCCAAGTCCTCACCGTTTCGGCACATCTTGGGACGTGGCTCACTGGCTCAATTTTTCGAGAAATGCTTCCGAGACTGCTTCTTCAGCATGCAAAGGCCACCCACGGTCCTTCCCGGTCGGAAGCAGAACCACGATGCTGCGGAAGTCCTGTTTCATATTCAGCACATGATCATGAGCTGCAGGCACGACGTGTCCCATCTCCGAAATGCACCAATGTGCACAAGTCCTCGACCCTAACCACCCTGATCCCATCTACCGTGATGGCGGCTACTCGTCTCTAGCTACGACGGAACAATCCCATCTACCTTGAAGTCATGTCTCAAGTCAACTGTGCAAGTCGGGTACAGTCCTTTGTGGACACCACCAACCGCCACTGCTGGGCTCCCGCCTGCTGAAGAGGGCTCTTCAAGCACTAAGGCTGGTAAGACCTCTCTTTTGAAGCCTAACAAAACCTAAAACCAAAAAAAAATAAACAAAAATTCCCTAAAGCATCCCAACAACCAGAAAATTCAGAACAAAATGGACAGAAAACCCTCCAAGGTCTCTTAATCATCCTTCAAAAAACAGCGAAACAGACAACGCCCCCGCCCCCATCCCCCCTCGTCAAGAAACAAAAACTGCTACGATGTTTTGCTTGCTTGCCTAGCCCGGCGAGAAAGCCCTATGTAAGCCCGAAACCCTAAACCCTAAACCCTCTTGCGCCTGGGAGGTGGGAGCCTCCAGCTCAAGCGCCTCTATGAGCCCCAAAGGGATGTCAAGCAACTGCTTCTCGCCGATCCTGGGGTTTAGGGTTCAGGGTTTAGGGTTTTGGGGTCAGGGTTCAGGGTGTAGGGTTAAGGGTTCAGGGTTTAGCGTTTAGGAGTCAGTTTTTAGGGTTCAGGGGTTCAGGCAACTGCTTCTCGCCGGGCTAGGGCTTCGGGTCTTAAGGTTTAGGGTTCAGGATGGTTTAGGCGCTTAAGGAATATAGGGCTTTGGGTTTCGGGCTTTGGGGAAAGTACAGGGTTTAGGGTTTAGGATATAGGGATTTAGGACCCTAAAGTAAGCGGAGAGTAGAGTATGCGTCACAAGGGGTTTAGGATATATGGGGCCAAAAACGTATCCAGAGTTTCGGTTGGTTTTGTCGGTCCTCTTTCGTTCACAGATCCCGATTCAGGGCATGACGGTCTCGGGTATTTATGCCCAACATTTCGGAGGGGTGGGGTGTACTAATTCAGTGTCATATATCCTTGTTTTGGGCTGGCTGTGGTGGGGGGGGGGAATATGAATATATATATATATAATATTTCAAAACATGTAAACATATATATATATAACCGGGTGCAACATCAGGATTTTCGCCAAGTCACCATGCCAAGTTGTCCTTCCACGTCCCTTTGGGAACTTGGAACTTCAGCCGGTAGTTCGAGATCAGCAGTCGGCCCTGCCAGACGGCTACGCATGATGGTACATTCATGCTCGGCTCTCCATAAGGATTCTAATGGAGGCCACTTGAATAAGTAGAGGCACAAAGTTGCTTTTCTTATTGCGGCAACTTGAACTGAGTACCCTAATTAATTAACAAGAATGGCACCCGATGCCTGGACCTCTCGAAAGGGTTTGTTGATCAGCAACACCTCAGTCTTGGTGCTCGAGTCCAGTTTGCAACAGTCTTTCTGATACGTCCCGCTGGACTTTGAACCAGCAATGACGGATGTTTCAGATGCAAAGCCCGCATTTACTGCAAGTGCCGGGGACCGGGCTGACGGATTAAATGCGTAGTGAACCTGCGCACGTGGTTTGTTGGACTGCCTATCGCTGCAGACTTTTGGCATGCAAGCTCAAGTCAATTCTGCAGACCTTCTCGCCAGGCAGCACACCCTCAAAGCCTCAGCGCAACAGGACATTGCCGCGAAATGCAGTAAGGCCACACTGTTACAATCTCACATGACCTTAGCTTTCCATGCCCCAGTTATATTACAGTAATTAGTAGAAACGTACATATACATATATATATATGTATATATATATATACACATACACATGTGCGTATACATTCATTATATATATATAGGTATGTATGTATGTATGTATGTACGTACGTACGTAGGCAGGTAGGTAGGTAGGTAGGTAGGTAGGTAGGTAGGCAGGTATGTATGTATGTATGTATGTATGTATGTATGTATGTGTTAGCTATTCTATAGTTTATTTACATATTATATGCTATAGTGCGCATGATATACATATACATATATATATATATATACATACATACATACATACATACACACACACACACGTACACCATATTTGATATGGCTCCACGTCTGCTCCGGTCTATCTGCAGCTCTGGAGCTGACGTCCAGGTTGGGGCGAGACGCCCCTGGCCTCAAAACCGTCCGCCATAAGAGCTTAGGGTGTAGGCCGTAGGATGTTTTTTGTTTTAGGGTTTAGGGTTTTGGGAAGCAGGAAGCAGGCCGGAAGAGGTAGAGAGAGTGAGACCTCCCAAGAACAACACCGTCGCCATCAGCCCCGGTGCCTCATGGCAAATCTCGGGATCTCGACCCGCGGAGCGGTGGCCTGCCGTGCCCGGTTCAGAACCCCAGATAAACCGCAACGGAGCGGCCCCTGCAAAGGCCAATGCCACAATGTAGGAACCTGATTAAGAAACTTTGGGCCTTTCTTCGGGTCCTTTATATGATTTTATGTATTTTGCTGTGGTATAGGGCCAGGGTTTCTTAATCAGGTTCCTACATTACGGAGTTCCGCTGACCCACTGCCAAACTCAGCCAGGGTCGAAGGGAGTCTCTTTGGCCAAGGGGCTTTGACCGCTGAGGTCATCTGGGAACCGACCTGCCACAAGGCGCCTCACAGGGCAGCCAGGATCCGCGAGCTCAACGCCTTACCTAGCTGGGCCAGCGCGTCGTCATTACTTGCTTGCGAGTTCCCTTCAAGCTGTCTGTCCTTCAACCTGGCAAACTTGTGTGGATATGCCTGTATGCGCAACATTCTGACGTGAGACGTCACTCCCACTAGAGACCGCCAGCGTACACGCGCTGTCGAGTTGAACCTCAACCCTTCTTGGCACGGCTGACAACAGTTCAGTCTTGCTCATGCATCTGCCGCGACTCAAGCAGAGCATGCTTTCGGAGAGTCTCCTTGCCTTTGAGCTGTCCCTGGTTGTGTTTCAGGTCGTAGGTATCATAGGTCACAATGCACCGACTCGGTCTGAACATGTCTTAACACCCGGCTCGTTTTCAAAATGCGCACAAGCAGGACATAGCAGGGATGCATGACATTATGATGTAGCGCAGAAGACTTGCCTAGCATCGAAGAGCCCACGTCTTTCATGGAGTCTTTGGCCGGCCTCGGCGACATGCTAGTCTGGAGCAGTCTTAACAAAAGGACCACGGATCGCCGCAGGTGAAGAAACTCGGCGCTGCGCGAAAGTGGCCCCAGTGGGGCCGGAGCAGGAACGGAATTTACCACTGGCAGCGTGAAGGGATCCTGCATCTGCGACAGTTGGGGGTTGCACCTAACGAGCAGGGGCTTTGGTCGAGGTCCTAGCTCTTTTGGCAAAACGTACGCTTGGGTAGCCATCGCAGCTCGCCCGGATTTGGGCCGCTCCGTTGGTACCAGTACTTGTTGGTACTGGCCGAGTTTCACAACGCTCGGCGCCGCAGGCCGTCACCCTGAAAGACGCTGCCATCTAGCTTCGCTCTCCGCTCCAAACTGGGCAGGAAAGGTTCCATCCATGACGCAGTTTTCTGCTTCGCCGTTGTTCAAGCCAAAAGAGTATGAATGGTGCCCGGCTTGGCTGCCAGACACTAAGATCCAACGAGCAAGATGTTGTCAAATTTGTGCGCTTTTCCTGGCCATAGAGTGGCCCGGCGTATCCATGAATGGCTTGAATTCGCCATGCGGTTGTGTTAGCTGGGAGCATGCAAGTTCGGAAAGCTCCTCTGGTACCAATGCAGGCGCCGCAAAGGGATCACCAGAGGCTCCGAAGCATTTTTTCTCCACCTGCATGGCATGTGTTGCTTCAGAAACGCAGCTTACACAGGCTGCTGTCAATTGCTCCACCCCTCCTACCGGAGCAGGCCCGCCTCTGTGGCAAACATGCGGATCTGCTCATCTGCTTCCGGACCAAGCCCACTGTTGGAGGTTGTCTGGCAGCGAAAGGAACACTGTAAGGATCACGAATGTGAGGAGCCCCTCCAACGGGATTCAAGATGCATGAAGCTTCATGGCTTCAGGCTGCAGCGCCCCTTCACGGCCTGTAGGGTCCACAAGGCGTCGCGCACGCCGTGGACTTGCCGAAGCTCAGCCTCCGCCCTTTTGTCGTAAAGGAGCCTTCAGCTTTCAGCGACTCAGAATGCGAAGGGATCCGTTCCTTTCCGAGTGCTAGCTTCAGGCTGCCCAGACTGGGCTGAGCTTGGTTCCGACTGCACTCCAAACACGACATGACCATGGCTATTGTGTATTTGTCGAAGTATGCCGAGGTCTGCTAGCTCTCTGCAGAGAGCAAAGTTCAGAGCTTGTTTTGATGGCCTGGGATGCCATCTCTCACCCATGCTGACAAGTAGCTCGTTCATGATGGTGAGGGCCTGCCCGTGACCCCTTCACCCACACAGGAACCTCGAAAAACAAACATGTTTCCACAGAAGCGCCCTGTAGCAGCACCCTGTATACCAAGCCCTGCCTTGAGCTTCCTTCTGGGCAGGCCACCCTTCTCGGCAAAGGCACCAGCGAGGAGCCTTACGGCCTCGGGCACCTCGGGAGCTGCCAAACCACGGCCTAGTCTCGGTGCAAAAAGCGCCTAAGCGCCGCCTCTCGAGGTTCCTTTGCAACTCGATCGCAGATCTCAGTCACCTGGGATGGCATATCACAACACACAAAGAGGGCCATCAGTATAAGATCTTACATAAGGTATCGTTGGGTGTCTCTGCCCACACAGAGCTGCACGAAAAGAACTTTGCTTGCAGCCAGGACGCTGTGGGAAAATCGACATTACTGCCTGCTGCCAGTGCCTGCGTTAGTCATTGGCCAAGAACATCTGGAACCGAAACTCCTAAACTCCTACACCCAAAACCCTAGACTCCGAAACTCCTAAACCCTAAAGGCCCTAGAGTTAAGGCCCTATAGGCCCTATAGGCCCCAACCGGGACCAGCAACCCCGGTCGCATGATAAGTTGCCTCAGAAACTCTGGGAGTCCGGGGCCTGGAAGATCCGCTCACCGATAGTGGGTTCTGCAGGCTCTCCGCCTGGAAGAACTCGGAAGAACTAACGGATGAAAAATATACTAATGATAGTTTACTTATTCTTATTGTTATATTATCATAATACATCATGATAAGAAGAAGAAGAATCTTGTTCTTAATAATAATCGTAGTAGTAAGAATACGAATAATGATAATAACAGCAATCGAAAGCAAGAGGAATTGTTATCATCATTATCATGATTATTGTCGTATTTTTTATATTGAGATTCAGAGTAATACGTTCTCAAGATTCAGCTGCAAGGAGTAGGGTAGAGTCGTAGCGCAGCAGACCGTCGTGAAAGGGTCAGGAGGAGCTGTTGGGCACTTGTGTTGTGCAAGCCGCATTAATTTCCTCCGGGTAGCCCTCCCACATATTTCGAGCGCATACCCAAAAGGGAGGGCGGAAACCCGCCTGATGTAAAGGCTGGCTTGCGGCTCAAGGTAGACTCCTTGCAGCCGCGCACGCAGAATGTAAGCTACATTCGGTCACTCCCGCGGCTCAAGGCAGACTAGGCCAGCATGGTCTAGTGACATCTAGTGAAGAGATGCTGGCGCAGGCTGGCACTGTTAAGCCCTGTCAGCCTGTGCGCTCTTGAAGTACTGGATCCCAATAGCCAAGAATCATCCATAAATCAGAACCCCTAAGGCCCTAAACCCTTAAAAAAATTGGCCACGGCACCACATCGAAGTCAAAAAGGCCCTTTGCAGGTTTTGCCGTCGACGACGCAGCCTGAGCCTCCTTGGTCAGGTGGATGCGCTATCGCTGTGAAGGATTCTCTCCAGTGGGTTACTATGAAGAGAGCCACCCCTCTTACTATAAGAGTGGAGTACTACGAGGATTACTACAGTAGATGGGTATAGAAAAGTATAAATTTAAAGAGTCAAGGGGAATTTTCAACCTTGTGAACACTCTCAGCGACTGCAATGCTGAGGGAGCCGCAGTCTGCTTCTTCTTTTGAAGCAGCCCAGTCAAGGGATCCGCCATGCGAAATGAACGTTACTGGAATTCTCGTGTGCTATCACTGACGAAGGTGAGGCGCAACTGCTAGCAAGTGAGTATCATAGAAGGCATGAGCTCGACGACAGCATGTAAAGTGGAATACTGCAGACAAGGGCACACTGCAGATGCATTGTTGGCAAATGGTCGTCAAACTCTTGCGCTGCAATGCCCTGCTACCGTCAGCTCACACACAGTAAGTTTAGCGGGTCATGCAACAAGTGGTGCTCAAGAAATAAGTCGTTGCTGCTCGGCCCGTCTTTCCGGAAGCTGGCAAATGGCTCAAGCGGCAGAAGCAAATGACGCCAAAGCAAGACGCGATCTCAATAGAGTGTGATCCAAAACCGTCAACAGCCGTACCACACTTCGGGCGCTTTCCTCTTTGCATACCTACAATCCATCGAGGCGCGCAGCCAAGCATATCTGCGAAGCATCTGTACTCTTGCTATTATTGGTATTATGCTTGTCATGATGATGATGATGAGGAGGAGGAGGATGCTGTTGTTGTTTATGATGATGATTTTCATTATTGTTGTTATTGCTTTTCATTAGTGCTTATTGTTATTCTTATTGTTCTGTTTATGGCATTCACCAGTGTTCCCTGCGCAAGTAGCCGATCAGATCACTGGGCATCGGCCTCGGCTCAGTTTCGACAGAAAATCTGCGTTCTAGGGTTCAGGGTTTAGGGGATGTCGGAATCAGGTTTGAGGGCTTGGGGGCCGTAAACCCTAAGTGAACCCACGGAAACTACAGGTGACTATACAGATGGTGAGCATTTCTAGTCGCGGAAAGAAACAATAATCAAAAGACATCTACGACTACGAGAGTTTACGACTGGCAATCGAACCGATTGCAGATAAGCGACGGGGCTTGCTTGCAAGCATGCCTAATTCCTGGGTCAAGAAGGGCCAGCTGAAATCTCACCAGCTCGGACATCTCGGCTAAGGTCAGATACCTTGAAGGACACGACTGTCACACACAAGCATCTTGAATAATCTTGAAAAAGCAACCGCCTGTGGAAAATGTCTGTGCGTTATCACATGTGACTTGGAGAAAGCGAGTGCAATCACAAGAGGGCAAGCCACTGGACGTACCTTGGATAGATCTTCAGGGCCACGGATTCAATGCGAACTGGTTCAGCCACGCCATCGAGCTGAATCAGGAGGTCCGCCTAGGATAGGCTGATACAAATGGCTTCCATAAAAGCACACCGATCGAGGCCTCGTCTAAGCGAACTACTGGGCACGAAGTAACAGTTGCAAGTATCGGTGGTTGATCATGCATTCTCATCGTCAACACATCTACCAGAGAGAGCTAAGTCCGAGGCATTTTCAGTACTTCGCTCCGCTGCAAGCAAGACTTTGCCAAGCTTTCCTGCGCAATCGGCGCTCTTACCTTCAGTTGCGGTGCACATGCTTGAGTCCTAGCTGGCTTTGCTTTACAACCACCGTGTCAGTTGGACAAACACCTTTGCTCGGTGCTCTCGAACGCAAAACCATGGAAGCTGAGATGCAGGAAGCGTCGACTTCGACGTACGTTCCCGGCTCCAAAGCCTTGAAGATCTCGGCCTTGGCAGAAAAAATCAATTCACACCGAGATCCTTGCAACTCTTGTGCTGCACCTTTCACACCAGGCAATGCAGGCGCCTGTACGTGGCATATTCTCACAGCTGGCCCTCGGGCGAATCTGCCCAGAGCACAGGTGCGTGTGCAACCCCAGATGTAGCAGCGATTCCGCCAAGCGGCCCGCAAGAAGAATGCAATCGACTGCAACCCCTCCTGCTTCAAGGACTTATGGTCGCATCTGGGATCTGAGCCTAAAGCTTACGTCTCCGATAACTCGCAAAAGAGCCTCTGGAAGCCCGAACTCGAACATCGTCCAGCGAGAAGACCCGGCCGGGATGAATGACGCTGTTCCAAAGTGCTGGTACCCAGAGACTCCAAAATCCCTTAATTAAGGAATATACCTTAAACTATAATGGGAACCCTAATAGGATTCAAGGTGTATTCCTTAATTAAGGAATATTGGAGTCTCTGGGTATGCCCGTGGCTGTCCTTCCATGAGTGCACGGTGTCGATTCCCTCTTCGGTCGGCGATCGAAGCCGTAACCAGGAGCTGTTCAACTTCTCATCGTCCGCGAAGCTTGGCAGAGGGGTGGCTGTGATATAGCCTGCGGCACACTACAATAAGTCAATCTTGGCCTGGGTATGCCTGGGTCGAGGTGTCTGAGTTCTACCTGTCCACAAAGCAGTGCCAAATTGAAACACAGCATGTGGCTGGCTTTAAAGGCATTTTCTCATATAGGCTGCTGCCACATAGGGTCGGAGCTTGGAGGAACTTCAAAATACTCGACTATGACTCCCCTGACACCTTATTCACAGCCTCAGACCCTGCCAAGCAGTCTTAGCAGCTACTGTGGCCGTGGTAGAAGCAACGCAGGTGGCGGATCTGATGTAGCGCAGTGAACTTGGCATCTGCAGGCGCGTAGTTCAGGGACTCGGGGTGCACAAAAAACATCCTGAGGCAGATCTCAAAATTTCTGCGCATGGGTCACGAATTTGGCTGCAAAAGTCTTGCAACACTACTGCTGAGACTCTGTTGTGATTGAAATGGGGTCATCACGTAGCACGGCGTGATGAAATAGTCCTGCTCCAGGCTGCGCATTCAATGGGAATGTGCGTGTACGCAAAGACAACAGTCTGCCACAACAAGCTCTTCATATACGTTCGCAATACACGAAGATCGCAAGTTACAACGACCCGAAAGCAAGTCAACTGAGTTTTGCAAGCTTGCAGGTGCCTTTTGAAACATCGGTGTCATTATCTGAGCGCCTGGCTATCGGCAGCTCCTTGCCAGTGGGCATGGACTTCAACGCACCTTCAAAACACCATGCCGGAGTTAGCCCCATGGGCCACCTACTGTGGCGGATCGCATGCAGAGCCACGGTGGTCCAAACCCTAAACTCCTGAAAACCTGAACCCTGTACTCCGAAACTTTAAAACCCCTAAACCCTGAACTCTCAACTCCTAAACTCCTTAAAACCCCTACACCCCTAAACCCTAAACAGCGTGCAGCCAGAAGAACTGGTGCTGCGGCAAAAGGTTCCATAAGCTGGACCACACAGATCCACATGAACCTTAGCAGCAAGAGGATTCCAGACCAGGGCCCGGAAAGCAGAAATCACTGTGAGAAACCAGAATATACTATTGTGGACACTCTAATTCAGTCTGATATACGATAGAATAGACCACAACGGCACAGAATATGTTCAAAATGCCATAGTAGTCAACCCTAAACCCTAAACCCTGAACCCTACACCCTAAACCGTATACTTACTGCTCTAAGGGCAGCACCATGTAAAGACCATGGTCTCCTTGAACAATGGCAGCGATCCACCTCGAAGACCGGGTGCAGCCGGATCTGCATACAAGCTACCACACCCTTATAACGTAATAGGTATGTGTATGTGTGTGTATATATATATATACTTTTTGGTTGATTTTTTTTGGGGTGTTACGGTTTAGGGTTTAGAATTTAGGGGTTTAGGGGTTCAGGGGTGTAGGGTTTAGGGTTTAGGGTTTGGGGGGTTAGGGGTTTAGGGTATATAGAATATGATACCGTATCTATCTATCTATCTATCTATATATATATATAGATATACATATATGTATGAAGATGACCGATCATCGCCGAGCTGCCAGTGAGGTACAGTTTGCGACAGGCTCCTCTCTCCGAATCTTTCGGCGAACGTATTTCGCAAGTCGTCATCAAACATTGATGAGACGCCTCAGCACTTGGAGAAAAAGACGCCGGAGACGGACACAGAGACTCCAATATCCCTTAATTAAGGATCATACCTTAAATTGTAATAGGAACCCTAATAAGACTTAAGGTGTATTCCTTAATTAAGGAATATTGGAGTCTCTGGGGGCAGAC